AGTAATTCAGTCTGCATCAGTGGGATGGGGTTCAGAATTTTCCGCAGCTTAATTGGGGATTTCAGGCCCTGTTTCGCGTAAACCGCTTATAATCCATATTCATGTGTGTGCCAGGTCATTCGGCGTTTTCAATTTGCATAATTAAATGCATGAGACCCCCCGACCGGACAATTAACCGTCGAGTGCGTTGAATACTTCAAAATAAATTTATTGTTTTAAACAGGCTGCTGATTGGTGGGACAACCTTTAAGCACTAATACCCTTGACCACACACTTTTCATAGTTATAGACATAGTCACAGGTGGTGGACGATGTGGTGGCTCCACAACTTGTAAGCAAAGTCTTCAGTTTGTCAATAGGCAGACTGCTGAAACGGAGCTGGGCAAACTTCACGATCTTATCGGTGTCGGGCTTTCCATCACCTCCAAGGAGACCCAGTTTCTTATAGACGCAGCTATGATAGCACTTCACCGACTCCGAAGGATTGGCAACATCCTTATCCGTGGTCAGCAAATTGGCATCGCTGGCTGCAATATTGAGCTCCTTAATGCAAGCCTGTTGCATTTGCTTGTAGGCTGCCAACTCAGCAGACGACTGACCCTATAACAGGGTAAAATATGACAAATTAAAATGATATTAATTCCTGTAAAAATTATATTTGCTTATAACTCACCGCTGCCATTTCGCTTAAAGCGCAAACAAGGAATACCACCACCAAGTAATTTAAGTTCATCTTCACAAAGCTATCTTCACTGTGCAACCGAATTCTGTTTGATTCAACCTGGCTTAAATACTCGTAAAATTTTTAAATTCCAAAATAAGGTATGTTAATTAAGTGATTATTATTATTAAAATTCAATTATTTATATTATTTCGTTTTTGAACAATTTAATTTTATAATTTGCTTAACCAATTGGTCGTTTTCACATTTCGGACAGCTGTCTTTCGGCTCAGCGAGCTCTAATTTAGTATTTATTTACTCTGTTTTGTTGTGCGTAGCCTTTTTAAATTTGTTTATATTTATAATTTAAGTTTATTTGGGAAATAAAATAAATTTGGAAAGTAAACAGTGCATCTATTGGCCAAAAATATGGGTAAAACTTTTAATATTGTTAGTTCTCAGAAAAATAAATATGGTTAGCCTTGCAATACCAATGTGCTCTATTATTTATGTAGAATATTAAAGTTGTTATTTACTATTTAAGCTTAAAATCTTTTTTGGATACTTGAATATTATTTGTATATATTTTTAATGCATTCCAAATTCTTTACATAACTTACTTTTATCTTACCTAGCCCTCATCCCAAAACTATGCTTTGAAAATGTTGTATTTACGTAGAAAAAAGTGTGAGCCCAAAATTGGGCTTTATTAATAACAGTAAAGATTTTAAAAAACGTGAAAGCTACATTACCAACTTAAGATAAGTTCAATTTAAAAATGCTAATATGCAGACAATTTATTTATATTTTTAAGAAGCCAGAAATTAGAATTACTTTTGTATAAACTCATGGTTTAGTTAAGGGGTTTTTGATTTAGCAGACACCGATAAGAAATGAGGCCCAAGGATACAAAGTTATCTACTCCGATTTGGTTGTGGTCACTGATTCGCCCGAGTGCTGGATGCCGTCGATAAAGTCGCTGCCATCAGGACCGAATCCCTCGCTCTCCGCCTCAGTCCGTTCGAGTATCTCGCGGATACGCTGCTCCGCCTCGAGCGTTTTCAGGTGATTGTAGCACAGGTGCAGCTTGTAGGCCGCCTCGCAGCGGGTTTTGCCCTGCAGATCGCTGCACTCCTTGATCTCCGCCTTCTCATGCTGTATTATAGTCTGCACCTGGTTCTTAAAGGCCTCCTCCAGCAGGACATTGTATCTATCCAGATCCAGGGTCTCGTACAGGCAGCTCACGAAGCACTGAAGCGGTTCATTGTGCTTGAGATCGAGAAAAGGCATCTGGGAGTTGCCATTGAAGTCCAGGTCGCCCAGATTGTTGACATCACCCATGGACTGAACTGGCGTTGGAGCCACATCGTTCTCGTTGTTGTAGTCACTGTTGACCAGGCTCATGTGAAAGAGCTTCAGCTGAGACATCGAGATCTCGGTCTTTCGCATACAGGACCTCAGCATATCCTGGCTGAGCTTGGTCTCTGTTCCGTTTGGAGGATCTGGAACCAGGGTTCGGGTCATGGACAAGTTCAGCGAGACGGTCAGCGATCGGGCCTGCAAATAGATTTAGCATTGTGAAATCCCTAACTTTCTAGCATTTGTTATGTTATATATTTCCAAGTATTAACGTTCTGACCACACTTCTTTTATTTTTATTGTCAATATTATTTGTATTAGTAAAATTCGTTTTGATGAAATTAAATCTTAGTTATAAGTATTATTGAAACGTTTAGTTTTCTAATAATTTGAGGAAACATTACCCATGCTACTGGCAGAAGATCACTGAGACTCAGGCAAAGCAAAGACAGCAAATTGGCTCGAAAATACATCTAAATACAATGTTTCACAAATATTTATGGTTTATCTTTAAAACAGGTTGGAACTACAAGGCCCGTCGTGGCTTAACAGGCTGCTTTTATAGAGTCAACTTTACAGAGTCCATCTCATTTAAAATTGCTATTTAATTGTGGTCCAAATCGATCGCAAATCCATTTAATGCCTGACTAGCTGGTCAGACATTAGGTTAGCATTTTTAGAAATATAGCAAATAATGTGCCATGCCTCAGTGCATTGCCAAAATCATTTTCGGGTGGGAACTCAAATTAGCATCGCCTAAAAGCCTTCATATGGGATATATAATGTGCCCGTTTAATGGCTTCTATAATTACGAAAAAAATGGCAGGCTCAATTTGGTAGATGAATCTACAAAACATTTAAGTGACGTTCCATAAAAGTGTCTAAAAACTGGCGAGGCAATTACTTTGTATACTTTTAGTCTGTATTGTTCCCATTTGTTAGTTATTTCAATTAAAATAATCATAGTAATTACTGACTAATTTATTTTGGTGACTAATGGGAGTTTTTTCATAAAATACTTTCGAATAAATTCAACAAAATATACTTTCTAACTCAGCTCTAATTAGATTCCAGATATGGTAATGTTGCAAAATAGAGCTGGGCAAAACGAATGATTTGCTATTGATTTTAGGAGGAAAATACAGAAATGCGCATTACCCTCGTTTTAAAAACTATCAGTATTCTGCTCTGTATTGGCCATTAACCGTAATCATGGTATTTCTATCTTTTATACGCCGAATACTTTTCCAGCTCTATTGCAAACCAATTCAATCACATTAGCTTCAACCACACCGACTGGTTAACTTCAACTCCAACTTTCTTTGGCCCTCTCTAATAGACGGACTTAATAACAGTCTTGTGCTGATAATCAGGAATACAACCGCAACATCCCCGGCCACATCACATATTGGTCTTTAAGATCAAAGAAATTGCAAAAGCGAGGGACATCGAAGCATGAAACAAGACAGTGGCAGCCACCCTGCAGCGAAGTTTTTATAAAATTAAATTACATTAATGTGAGAACCGCAGGCTAGAGAATCCCTCCCCCTCTGAACCAAAGCATTAGGAATCAACCCCACCCAACTCATAGCGATTTCCTCAGTCCTTGGCCATTGAAAGCCAACTAACGGGAGCAAGACAAGCCAAACAAGAGGGCCAAGACAAAGGCTGATGTCGAGCATCAATGTGCTACCATCTCACGCGTGTTGGTTCCTTTGACAGGCCGCCATGGCTGTCTACTTAAATGCATTAGCTTGTGGGGGGTGGAACCCTGAAACCCGTCGATTGGGCTGCCTTTTTAATAGACATTAGTAAACGCATCAGTGATTGTTTGTTGGCCAAGCTCTTGTGCAGACAACTGCAACTGAAACGGATGCTAAATGGAAGTGACATGACAGCCAGACCGTCCCCAGGAAGTGACAAAATGAATTATGGACGCCAAGCCAAGTCCGCCGCCACCCTGGCTGCGATCCAAAATCCCCAAAGCCAAAGCCAAAAGGCAAAGCAATTGTGCCTTATGTGCCCCACCTGGCCCCAGAAGTTCAGCCGGTAAATGCAATTGCGACACGTGCTCAATGAATGTTTAATGATTTGTTAATTGGATTTGGGCTTTTAAAAACACGCTTCCATGTGTCCAATTCATTTGCTCGGCCCGCACGCATCCATCCCAGTATCCAGGATCCCAGGATTCGGTACACAGGATCCCGGTCTTTGTGCGAATAAGTTTGCCGTCGCTCATCAATATTTATGCCAGACATGAGCGGGCAAATACCTCTGGGATCGGTGCTCTGGCCAAGGACTTAAGCCCCTGACGACGGTCTGACAGTGGTCCTTAATGATGGCCCACTGTTATGCAAATGGGTGCGTGGCCAGGACCACCACGCAAATGGGTCATACAGTGGAGCTTCCATTGACAAGTCGAATATGCATAAGTAATTATGTATAAGAATTTTGGTCTTAATTTCTTTGGTTATACAAAAAGGGGCATGGGCTGTGAGGGGCTGTCAAAGTTGGCAACGTAATTTTGGTTAAAAGTTCTCTTGAAGACTCAAAGACCTTTGGAACTTCTAAACATTTTCGTAAAATATGCTCGGTTTTACATATATAATTATTTTTATCAAATTATTGTACTTTAAAGTTAGTTAAATTTTACTTTTTAACCCGAGTGGGGGATATATTCTCAATATCCCCCATCCCCGTGGATCCGTTCAAGATTTAAGTAATCTTAAAGATATTTTTTATAATTAATATTATTTGATGTTTAAAGTAGAGTAGATTTCTAACCTATAGATCTAGAATAACCTGTGCTAATCTTACAACTAAAGTTCCAATTTATGAATATTATTTTTATGTATTTACAAAAAATTTTAAGTTTTTCCACCTGATGATACTTCGAAGCTAAAATTAATTTTAAAACGTTCCATATACTTTAGAACCTTAGAAAAATAATTATACTATAACCAAATATTACATTTTAAAACATTTTTTTTCTAACATTTTATTCAAGGAGCTCAAAATCTATTCTTGGTATTCTCATAGGACAAAGGTAGTTAAAGCAAAAAAAGTAACAGGTCACAGACAGATTATCACACATATTAAATTCGCAAGATTTCCGCTTAGATTTGGGCGCGGTTCTTGTAGTAGCACTGGAATAGCTGGAAGGCGGTGTCGCACTTATCAGCTCCCTTGGTGGCATCACACTTGGCCTGAACGGCCTTCACGGTATCCTCGCCAACTAGCGGTCCCAACTTGGCCAAAACGACAGCGGGCTGTACCTCTCCATCGATCAGGAATCCGGTCTTCTCCAGGAAACAGTTGGCGAAGCACTTTACCTTGGGATCGCTGTCCCCAAAGTTGCCATTTCGCAGAGCGATCGCCTGGTCCTTGGTAACTCCCTCCTGCTGGGCACAAAGGGCTCCATTGGCATGGGCCACGGCCTTCTGCTCATCGGACAGCTGAAGTTCCTATGAGATACATATATTATAAACATATAAGCCTCACTGATTTATTCTTTTAACTTACGGCAAAAGAAATGGCCAAAATGGCGGACAGGACAATCAGGAATTTCATGGTGCCGGTTGAGATGTTATTGGGAACCCTTTGGTATCGGAACTGTTTGTTTTATTCTGCTAGCATCTGGCTTTTATACGATTTTTGATGCTGCTTCGCTAGAGTTTTGTTTTGATTATCGCGTTTTGCTTTCGCTTTACTCCGGTGATCACACTGTATAAGCAATTAAATATACACACGGCTATATATCGGTTAGTTTATTTAAATCGCCGTTTTAATGGTTCTCTCGTTGTTTTTGCTTTTTTGTTTGGTCCAACCCCCTTCGATCTCGTTGATAACCCGACACTGACTCACTTTTTTGTGCCATTTCGGCTTAAAGTTCATCCGACACTCAACTCAGCAAATGAAGCAAGTTTGTTGCGGTTCCCATTGTAGTTATAATTGGCCTTAATGCCCCAGACTCGAGCTCATTATATGGCTAAAATAATTGGATTTCCATAATGTAAGTGCTAATTGTAATTTCAGATTTTCCAACGATTATAAAAATGTTGTACTTCCCAAGGGTCAGAGTGGTCAGCGAAGCGTCAACGTCAACAAATTGGATTTAACAATACCCCTAGCTCTCAAAACCTTAAACTTGAAATACGATTTTACGTAGGTTTTTATTAAGGTGTTAAAAAAAGTGCGGGCAAAGCATGAGTGGGCAATTTTAAAGAGACCTTAAATAGGTAGAAAGAAGATTTTCTCTTACTTAAGAACATACATAAAATAAACCAAATTTCGGAAATAATGCGAGTAATCAATTTAAAGGTGTATCTTAAGTATTTATAAACCCATTATTGATAAGTAATAAAACTAATATATTTATTTGCCATTATTCATTACTTAGAATTGCAGGTCAAGCATGAGTGGACAACTATCATTGTGCAATATTTATAGTAATATATAATATCGACCGTAAATCAGCCTTTGGGTTTTATATTCATGAAAAGATGAACCGATCGTTATCTATTAGAAATACAAATCTGTACCATCAATCTTTCTTTCAATAATTTTATAATTGTCAGATTACAATTATATATTATAATTAAAAAGTTGACGTGTTAATCTAAAGACTAATTACTATACTCAATACTCTTAACAATTATTACTTAGTCATGTAAGTAATTTCTTAAAGATAATTAAGTTGTTTGGCCCTTATTTGATTAAAGTTAAAAATAAATCTGCAATTACATTGTATAAATTAATTGCTGCCAGATGATCGTACTGATTTACCAGACCGGTTTTAAGTTTGTGAGTTTTTTCCATTGCTTTGTTTGTTTTGGGCAAAGTTTGAAGTCAAGTGCCGGTATCAAAGTCTAAAAATTCAAACGAGTCTCAGAAACTCAAGTCCATGCGGTGAAACGAACTGGTTTGCTGATTAATTTGTAGCCCAGATATGTCTGGCTGATTAATAATTAAAGTAACATTCAGATGAAATGGAGATATATGTACATTTATGCATGAGTTTTAAGCGGAACCGTTTAAGGGGTCTAACTGCCCGAATTATTAATTTATGGTAATAGAGGCAGTTACCCAAAGTTGATGCTTACGTGCCAGAACTTTGGACTTATATATTTTATCAATATTTATTGCTGACAGCATCGATAATTCATGACCTACTCAAGCCCTAGACCCGTGCCATGGGCCTGGGCTTTACGGAGAGAAAAGTTACCAGAGTAGACTCGTAAATAGTTACGCACGCCAGGCAAAACAAAATGTCAGAACGATTATTGCGGCCCATCGTCGCCTGCCAGGGCCATAACAGAAGTAAAATATTTAAATAGTAATAAATTCATAATGTCATCGTGTATACAGCTCCTGCTCCTATCGGGTTCCTCCCAACGATTTATAGACAATAATAACTGCAAACACGAAGCAGCGGGTGACTCCTCAAGTAGTTTGATTTCAGTTCGAGGAGATGGAGATGTAGCTTTTTTGTACCTGGTGAAAAAGTTGGTTGGTCCCTAAAAGTTCTCCTTAGAAGAAGGGAATATAACTGTTTTAGTCGCAGACATGATAGGACGGGTGGGAGGGTCGCATGTGGCTCATATCTAATATAAATATTAAATACTATATGGCATGCAATAAAAATATAAACAGCACATAAAACGACAATGAAAAACAATGGCACACGTTATTATGTGCCCGAAGAACTACGGCTAATGAAATGTCATCGGACCCGAGGGCTCAACTCAACCGAACTGAACTGAAATGCAAATGTCACGCGAAAAACCATTTGACGAGAACATTACGTTGACATAATAATAATGCCGTCAACCGTTGAAGGACCCCGACTTAAAGCCAAAAGCTCGGTTAACAGTCATATGCAAATTTTACGAGCTTCTCATGACCGGTCATAAAAGCCAATTTATTAGCTATGAGAAATTAAAAAGAAAAACAATTAAATAGGTGCAAAGCGTGAATTTGATTATGGTCAACGTTTTGGGAATTACTAAAGCAGAAATTTGATACTCTACAGGTTAGATGAAAATTCACTTAAATTTCAATTGGAGTAAAAGACTAGGTGTTATATGAAACGTTTTCTGAAGTTCTTATCAATAATTAGTTTTTTGACTAAAGGATTATCGTCACAAATCGTCCTTTATAAAAAATAATGTGTTATAGTTAATAGGTAAAAAGTTCCCTATAAGAAACTATAGGTTTGGAACTATCGCCAAATGGTTTATCGTTAAAAATCCTTTAGTATAAAAAACAATGTATCATAGTTGATAGGTAAAAAGTCCCCTATAAAAAACTATAATTTTGGAACTAAAAATATTATTTTATAATATCTTTTGATGGTATCTTAACCCTTTTTAACTATATTATTTCTTTTTTTAATAATTTGTAAACTATTCTTTAGGAACTTGTCCCAGTCACTCTATATTATGCTGCTGATAAAAATCAATAATTTAAAGATAATAAATGCAAAAGGCCTCCTATCATGGCAGCTGTGTAATTAATTATAACCAATGGCGAGATAGGATCTCCCGCTCCTGAATTCGCAAGGCTAGCAAAAAGCTACAGAAATTCAATTAGGCTTATCCCATGCAATAACAACACCGCAAGCAACAACAAGAGCTACAGAACAGCTGCAACACCTGCGCAATTAATTAGTGTTTGCCGCATTAATTTCAGAAAATAAAAAGAGATGGCCCAAAGGAAACCATAGCCACCACCAGATAGGATGGGATTCGGCTGGCGAATAGGCACCCTTTAGGGTCAGAACCCGGTGTGGCTAATAAATTCAGAAAGCATCCTTGGCTTTTCCACAATTGGAGCGGAAAATCCTCAATGGGCCAGAAAGCCAGTGTAACACTAAACCAGGTAAATCAAATAAAGCAAATTCAGTTAATTTAAATTATAATGAGACCACGATGGCGGGGGCTAAGCAGAGAATACTATTTGCTGATGGAAAGATGAAAAGCAGGCGAAAACTTGTACAAATATGGAGTGCGTATTTGTATTAGCCCAAGTGGAATTTAAATCATGAACTCTTCTGCAAAGAATGGGTACTAAAACTCTTATAAAAACAAAATGTATGCCAAATTCCATTAATCATCACGAAAAGGAGTACTAAAATAATGTGCATTGAAAGTATGTTACTATCCTTTGGATAATCTTTTCCCAGGGCTCGCAATAAAAATGGAAAAGATATCATAATTTCCACTTCTATAATTTGTTTACGATTATGGCCGCATGCAAAATAAAACGCATTTAAGTAATTAAGTCATAAAAAAAGAGTGGCGTGCTGGGTTGGCTCCTTCATAAAAACCAGACCGCCTGCAATAAAATGCCAAAAACAAAACAATTGGGCAATTAAATGTCTTGGTACTACCAAAAATTTTCGTTTTGGTAACAAAACGCGTAATAAAATAAGCCAAAATATACTCGGCCCGCGGGAACTGTGAACTGATGGCGGTCGGTTTGGCCCTAAAAATGGATCACAAATGGGGGAAATTATGTGAAAATGTCTGCTCTGGCATCTGCCTTTGTCTCCCTCCCCCCATTTCCCAATAAAAACGCAAGGAAAAGGCGAATGCGTATGCGAGTGTTTTAGTAATATTTATTGAATTCCAGTTAACGAACCCAGAACCGATGGAGCGTTGGATAAGGGACAGTGTGTTCGAGACCCAAAAGGGGGAAAAATAGGGACGGGGGGCCATGGAGTCAAGCAAAGCTTACAAAGCTTTTCAACGCACATTTTCCAAACACCCGGGGAAACCCCCCTCCCCCAAACAGCCGGAAAATTCCGAGCTCTGCAAAATGAATTCTTTTGTGACAAGTTCAATTCGGTTGAGGGGCCAGTCAGTGGCTGGGATGCGGAGTTCATATATGGAACTCCGGGCGAACTGTTGCTGCTGCTCCTCCAATCCTCCAATCTTCCTGTCATATGGCGCATCAAAGACGTCCAGGTGAAGGAATGCAGTGCTCTGCGTTCTGTAAGAAATTGAAAAAAAAACACCCAACTGGGGGAAGCTTCGGCGGCTTCCCGATGATGGGAAAAATGGAAAATCTCAAGCTGCGAAAATCAGCAGCAAACGCGCTGCTTTCACTGGCATTATTGTCATGATGCTGTGCGGATATTTTCCTGTGCGCTTGGAATTTTTAATAAACGTTAAAGTTTATAACATTCTACGCTCAGCGTAATCTGTATGCCACATACAGTATATATCGACGCCCGAAGCTTATCCTTGAAGGAGAATACAACGATGTCTTGACTCCATGAAACTGCAACCAAAAAGGTAATCCAGGGGCATAAAGAGCCTCACATAAAACCGACTAATTAGGCAAAGCATCTAATTAGAGACGCACAACAAGGACATGCGTCCTTTGTGCCGCCTCGTAAAAGCCAAAGCCCCCAAATGACAGCGTCGCTAAAAATTCTTATCGCCGGTACCAAAATTAAGCCCCAACTGGGGAGCAGAACCAGAAAAGCGAGGAAAAGGCAACAAGGAAAGCCCGGAAAAATTTATTGTGGCAAAGGTTAAAGACGCGCGCCATGTTAAATGTGGAAATTGTTTAATCCACTCCAATCCAGCTCGGCAATTACAATTACAGGGTCCGTGGTCAGCTGCATGAAATTGGAACTCCGTCCGAGGGATACGAGATAAACTTTACACGAAAAAGGGCAGACCCGCTTCGGAAAAAAAGGAAAAACCTGAAAGTAAAAGAAAAACCTATTTGCATTTTATTTTCTTTGTAATTTGATGCTCGATTGCTTTTTTTAGTGTGTAATGAGGTGGGCTGCAAATGGGTTTAATATACACATTCCACTAATGCCAGACGGGAAACTTGAAAGAACTTATCACACGCATGGTTGGTTTTTTTTCCATTAAGCCGAGGAAACTTTAAAAAAGTAAATCTTATAAATCGAATTAACTTTTTGTCACAATAATATATAATATACTATATCTGCCTTTTATGGCTTTAATTAGGGAATTAAATATAGCTTACTAAAACAAAAAACTTTTAAGATTATTTCTATATTTTTTCTAAGTCAATAGCGAAGTAAAAGATATGGGAGACCTTTAAAATTTAGAACCAGGCGCGAAATTTAAATTTCCGTTTTTAATTTTTCACTCCAAATTTTGTTAATCGAAATAGGGAAACATTTGTATACTTAATGATAATACGAAATTTATCTCGCTTTTCTAAAACAACTTACTTTTACACTAGCATTTTTAATTTCGTCCTTTAAATTTTATTATTTAAAATAGGGGAAACATTTTTATGCCCAATGATTGTTTTTAAATTTTCACTTGCCCAAAAATATTCGAATAATAGAGGAAAGCCTGTGGCTTCCATTCGGAAATTTCCATTCCGTAGCACGCACGATTGCATCCACAAAATACCCGGAGAATATTTAGGCGCCCTAAGAGGAAACTGCCATTGCGACGTGCAAATTGATCAAAATAAATTGCATAAAATATTCCATTTACGTTCCCATTCCGAGCGGAGTTGCCCCGAAAATTATTGTAAGCATCTAATGCAATCAGAAAGTGTTGCAACGCCTTGGGGCAGATGGGCCAAAACAATGCCATTAATTTGCTTCCCAACTGGCCGGCGATTCTGTTTTGAGTTATGCCCGGAATTTGTGATAAGCTATCCGGATTACGGACTGAAAATACCAAGGAGACTGAGCTTTCTTTTCCGGAACTTGCCAGGGGAATCGGCAGGGGGGGAATGCAAAGAAATTATTTTAGCACTCGGGCGGATACCTCTTTTCAAGCTGTTAAAATAATTAGTGGGAAATGGCAGCCAGCCCACACCCACAATCCAGATGGAATGCGAAAAGTAAAGCTTGGCCGAGAGCAGGTCTGTTAAATTTGGAACTGCAACAAAAGAGTTGATTATTTACCCACGTGCACAAAGTTCTCCTCACGTGCACTTCCATATGCAAATACATCAGCCAGTCATTAAATTAATTAAAAAGAGCTCTTTCCGTGAAATGACTGTGCGAAAACTTTAATTTGCACCAGGCTCCGGCGAACCGAGTATTCTGTTCGTGTGTTTTCTGAAACATTTCGACAGCACCAGTTAAATCCAAATATTTTTGGCTCCATTCTAGGCCTATCTATGCAATATTCTGAACCATTTTAACAGCACCAATTGGCTGATTTTAGACCTATCTATACATGAGTCGAATGATAATTGTACCAGCTTAATTTATTTTCACACATAAAAATGGAAATCATTTTGATACCGTCACACTACCTTTATTACTTAATGATAGTGTGATGAATTTGCAAATTTTTATTGTAATACAAGGCCAATATTAAACCAATAAGCAATACGCACATTATAATTACTATTTCATGAAGTTCCACATAAATAATTACCGATTTCCATGTAGTGAACTTTGTTATAATATTTATATCAGGTTTGGCCTTTAGGGTAATCATTACCAGAGTAAAAGTACTCTTAAATGGTTTTCTAAAGATGAGAACAACCCTTAGTTGTGGGCCAAATATACTTTTCCCTGAAAATTATCCCCAAATGTTTTTGGGGAGAGTTCAACGAACTAGCGCCCCAAAGCCGGTAAACCCCAAAGGAATTGTCCTACAGTTTCAGAAACTGATAATTCTGTTTCAAAAACCTCCCACATGTCACGGAGAAGGCAATAAACTAAGGCGTAAGATTTACTAATATCAATGATATAAGACATTTCCCCAAATGAGTATATAATAAAGCTAATGGAAAGTTATGGAGCCTGAGGGCTAAGGCGGAAGAGATTCTTTTCGGGGTGGTATTACAAACATAGATACAAACCACCGGACAATTAATGGGATGCCGTTTCATTACATGGCACTCAGACATTCCTCAATATCGAATTGATTAAATTTCACACTGAAAAATAATGTCGAGTGTTGAATTTATGGCAAAGCAATTTAGCGTTATCACCTGGAATGCTCGGAATGGCATTCCGGTTGCAAATGCTTCTTACCTGCACACATTGCAGAACTAAACCTTTTTGGGAGAAATGGGTAATGGTTTGGGGCCAGACTTAATGGTCTATTAAGGTGTTTGACCAACGATTTAAATGCAATTAAATGGAAAGTCTTCCGATACTTAATGGTAGACCGGGGGTTCAATTAAAATAAATGAAATTGCCGAAAAGAGTGGCTCGTAAAAATGATAAACACATTAAATGGGTGCCGGTTGCCATCAATAAATGCCCTCCACTGACATTTATTTATGAACGCTAATAATTTTTAAAGCTTTTCATTTAACTCAAATACAAATGGCCACCGCTGAAACTTGATGGAATGGGATAATGGGGCGAGTCTGACATGTTTTGGCGGTTACTTTTTGTACACACACACTAGGCCACAAACACAGGAGCACAAAATGTCAACTTTTTGCCAACCGAAAATTGTCAAATGCACAGAATTTTAAGCGCCATACATTTATGTTGATGCGGTTTAAAAGTTTTTTAATTACATTTGCAGGAGTCCCGAACCACCCACCGAAAAAACAACGACAACATCCAGATCCTTTTGGTCCACCCATCCGAAAAACACATCCACACTCGCGTCATTCAGAGTATATTTTACGCTTTATGATTGTATTTGGCTGGGAAAATGTTTAAAACTCATTTAATTTGAAACAAATTAGAAACGATAACACACAAAAGTGAGCCGTTGTTCTTGTTGTAGAAGCGATACTCCTTCTAATGTGCACTTTTTACTTGTTTCCCTTTTTTTGCCACCTATTTTGACACTAATGGTGTGTGTGTGGGTACCAAAAATAAGAGGAATGCAGGTTGATTATGTTTATTTTAAAACATTTTTTTATTAACAGCTACTTTGGTTTTTTAGAAAGAAATTATAAAATACAAACGAGAAATTAAGTAAGCACTGGTAATAGAAAGTTTAACTTCCATTGAGCTGTGGAAAAAGTGATAGGTCTTTAAAAAGCTGTCTTTAACTAAGAGGATAGTATGGCCTATTGCAAAGGTTAAAAATAATATACCTTTGGCCTGTAAAGGTAAAATAAATTTCATTAGCTACACAGCTACTTAGTTATTTTCACAGCTTAATATATTAGATTCCTATCTTTAGCTTGGCGAATCTCGTTTTTTAGAGAGGCGGCATGGAAATGATCATTAACTGATGACTCGTTTCTTGCATACACATTAACCCATTTAATTTCAGCATTAGCCCCACATTTTCGACACCCACTCACACACTCGTCCTCTTGTCACTTGCTTGTCAATCATCCATCAAAGCCCCCCATCATACCCATCAGGACTGTGAAAACTCTGGGCTACTTATTTTCACATTGGATGCTCGCAGAAACAGAAACTAATTGCTAAAACGCCTTGATGCCTGTGTAAGCAGTGGGGATTATGTAAAGACACAGGCAAGTAAGAAGAATCCTATCTCTAACCCTGAATCATAAAAATGTTTAGACAACAAACTGAGGCTGGGCGGGTCATCATTCATTGGGCCCAAACAAATATGGCCAGGCCAGCGAGTGAATGCTATCACTTTTTTGAGATCTAGTTTGACCCAAATGTGTGGTGGGTCATAGCTAGAAGCTGGGGTGGCTTAATCCCTGCTGACTTAGGATACTTTAAAGAACGCAACGAAAATTATTAATAAACTGCAAAGTCTTGGGAAGCTCAAGCTAGTCTGATTGAAAGCTGAAAAGATACATGAAAATGACACCAAGACAAAAATTGCCAGTCAGCATGGCGAGGTTGTTTCTCCACCAACCCAAGTTAGAGGAAAGGGAACCGTTAACCAAATATGGTAATCAGACTAGGGGCTATAGTCCATCATCTCGAATTGTATAAATGCTGACTGCCCGCAACATTAAGCCAACAGTTTCGATTCCAAAAGATTCTAAGCAACTCCCGATCAGCATCATGAAAGTATTCATCGCTCTCGTCGCCCTTGCTGCTCTGTCCTTTGCAGCTGCTGTGGTAACCCTTTCTCAAAAGATCCCTGTTCTTTATAAAGATAATATTTCTGTCTTTTCGTAACCCTCCAGGAACTCTCTCCGGCCCAGATCGAAGTGGTTAGACAGAGGGCCCAGGCCTGTGCCGAACAGGAAGGAATCACCAAGGAGCAGGCTATTGCCCTGCGCGCCGGCAACTTCGGGGACTCCGATCCCAAGGTGAAGTGCTTTGCCAACTGTTTCCTGGAGCAGAGTGGCCTGGTGGCCAACGGTCAGGTCAATCCCGCTGCGGTCCTGGCCAAACTGGGTCCCATCGCCGGGGAGGCAAAGGTCAAGGAGGTCCAGGCCAAGTGCGACTCGATCCAGGGAGCCGATAAGTGCGACACCAGCTACCAGTTGTACAAGTGCTACTTCGAAAACCGCGCTGAAATATAAGTCAAAATATCGAATCTGAACATTGACATTTTTATGAAATAAACATTCCTTAATTGAGCTGCAAAAATTATTTGGTATTTTTAAAAACACTTAGAAATCAGTTGTGAGCTTCTAAACAACCGTTTAAAAGGTTACATAAATAATTAACTAAATTTCTTTTGTGGAAAACCACAAGAACTTTGTTGATAAAACAATCACCAAAAATCTATAATTTTAAACCTTTAAATAATGATTTAAAAATAAAATACTCAGACGTGTTTATATTTTACGTATTAGAGTTCTCATTTCAATTCAAACATTTTGGCAAAAGGGGCAAGAAAGTTTAATTCCAAAACTCACAAACAGTTTAATTTCTTTTCTCAGAAAAGGACATTACAACAACATTACTTAACTTTGATTTGTTTCTTTAAAAACAATATGTTATACATTTATCCCATACTTGCAAAATAAACCTGCCGTAGCTATCCAAAAAGAGGTCTGAACGTTTTCAAAAATTTTAACACAACAAAAAGGAATTCAACTACCTTAATAATCCCAAATAACTAATGTCTTTTTCTATAGCTTGATCAAATAACATAAGCCCTATAAAAGATTATTATTCCCTGAATGAAAACAAAGCGAACACACAGCGAACATAAGTTAAAGGAAAGGGAACAATATATGCACCTCAGTTAAGGTCCGTCATCTTGTATCGTATAGATGTAGTTAAACGATTGGTTAATTTATATGGCAAAGCTTAAAAAAAAACTCGGATCTTTCCCTGGCCTATGCCATTTTGACAATTGTATGAATTTTTCAATTTATTAAGCTCAAACTTTATTTATAGATATTAATTTACAAAAGGATTAAAAATATATCTCTCTTCGGTATATTCATACTGTCCCAGGAAAGATAAAGGCCCAACGAAACTCCTTACAAGCTGCAAAGCTTTCATAAGTTTTTAATCTTAGCTAATTGATATATAAAAGACATATGAACGCGAGACTAAAACTAAAACTGCCAGTCAGCATGGCGAGGTTGATTCTCAAAGAACCCGAAAGTGAGGTAAGGGATCCATTCACTTTATATGATACTAAGGTTAAAGTCCATCGTGTTGAATCGTATAAATGCTTACTTTCAAGAGATTCTAAACACCACTCGCAGCTCTTTTATTTGCAGCTGCTCTGGTAAGATATAAGCTAAATATCCAAACCGTTTGAAGAGATGAAATCCTGTGCCGAGCAGGAGGGAATTACTTCTGGAACTCTGATCCCAAGACGAAGTGCTTCGCCCTTCATATTTTTTTTATATGTTATCCTAAACCGTAACAAATGTGAAATCAATTTAGAACATGCTTGAAAGCCTTGATGAGATTGAAAAATGTAGTTTAAGTATCTGAAGGAAAGAAAAATTTCATTTTGGAGTAATATAGTCGACCGTCTTATATCAATCAATGATAACGATATATGTAATGATAAATTTAAGAAGTTTCAATGCTACTATCACTAAAACGAAATATCGGTTGTTGACAAATCAGTTTAACTACAAAATAAAGTTTTCATTTCAAAATTGTGCGAAATGTATTTTAAGAATAAATTTGTTCAAGCGAAATCTAGAATGTTGTACTGGAACGATAAATTAATCATTAATAGGCGTGCAATTCGTCGGTAAAATGAATCCATTTAAAGCACGTCCGCAGCATCTGAAATCTGTATAGCAGCACAGCCGTCGAAATGAAGTGGTCACATGTCTTGGTATTTCTATTTGGCATTTTAGCTGTGACAACTTCACAAGTAAGTAAAAAATATTTCGGACGTAGTATTTTTCTATTTTTTGAAAAATTACAGCGGAGGGACTTCAAAACTACGCGTGATTGCGAAAGACAAGAAAATGTAACACTGATGGAAGCCTACGAAGCTGTATTTTTAAGGAAAACCGAGCCCGTAGATTTCAAGGTCAAGTGCTTTTTGCACTGTTCCATCGAAGAATCGATTAATTTCAGAAAGGCTTTTAATTTAGTACCGCCAAGTAAGGTCGATCACTGCATGTTGATCAAGGATGAGGATAAGTGCGAGGAGGGCTTGAAAAAGTTTAAATGCTATTACGATAAATAGGTATTTTCAACTTTGACTTAAAAATAAAGTTGGAATTTCCAATGCCATTGTTTGTGTTTTCGATAAGAAAAAAACCACAAGGATAAGGGTTGTCTTGAGATGGATTGTCTTTTAGGGACACAGGATGAAGGCTGGCGATCCGAGAAGGAGTATTCTCAAATTCAAGCATAAGCTTTCTCGTTTCCAAGGGTAAGATCTTTAATTTTCTAGAGTTAATAGTTTATGATTTTAGTAAAATATCTCTCTTATGGAGACGAAAGTGTGATTGTTCTTAAGAGCGATTCCCGTTCTATTTCAGTATTCTTGATTTTAAGAATATTTTTTCATCGATTTCAGCCAGGGTTATGGCTCCCGATCCCAGATAAAATATTTTGAAAAGATTAAAAAATTTTATATATTTTTTCGATAACCAAATAGTAAATGCTTTGAGCGTTGCTTAATGGAATCTAGAGAAATCATCTCAAATAATGAGATCAGCCCAGAGCTACCTTGAATGAATGTTTGGCATTCGGGAATTAATAAAAACAAGCGCATGAAAAATGTCATTCCACTAAGGTAGCCGGAAAATGTGAATTGGGACCCAAGGTTCTATAGTTCTACAAATGGGTTATCCAGAATAGACAAAGATAAAATTTATGAAACAAACTTAAGTTAAAAACTCTGTATAATAAAAATTTTTTTTTGATTTTTTATAATCAAGCAGGCATTGAATTTAGCTTTATGCCAAAAAGGGTATTAGAGTAATTTTCGTTATCCAGTTGATTCAAAAAACTCAAACTGTCAGCACACTGTAGCCCCCAAAAATTTTGGATCAAAATTTGGTTTAAAAATTATTTATTTCGATTAAAATTAAAGTTGTTCGCGTGAAGATGTCGAGCTATAGACGACTTTACCGTGCAGAGCGTCTCATGAATCTGCTGAAGGCGAACCGTGGAATGACGAGCACAGGCAGGCAACCGATCTTCGATGTGGAGACCAGAAAGGACTTTGAGCAGCGGGTGATAAACAGTGACCGACCAGTGGTAGTGGATTTCCATGCCAGGTGAGCTCAACACTTTTTACCCTCTGAGATCCTTGTCCTTGATCCAAACTATCTCTTCGAACAGCTGGTGTTGTCCTTGCAAGGCTCTGGCCCCTCGACTGGAGAACATCGTATCTGAGCAGGGCGGTCGAGTGAGGTTAGCCCGCGTGGATATCGATGAGCACGGTGAACTGGCCATGGACTACAACGTCGGATCCGTTCCATCTCTGGTGGTCATCAGCAAGGGCAAGGTGGTAAATCGTATGGTTGGCCTACAGACCAGCGAATACATCCGCAAGTGGCTCCATAAAGTTGTGCCCCAAAAATCATCTGCGGATGCGAAGAAATAGATCAGCATGTCAATCGAGAGTGGAAACACGTTCTTTGTAGGCTCGCTTTAAGTACGATTAAACCATGTTCAGGGCAACACGTTTTTAATTAAATTTCGATTTAACAAGTTGTCTGCTGGCGCCTCACCTATAGTGTTTCTACACTGGGGAAAATAAAATATATTTGTTTTTGCAAACTGTTGGTACTTTCATTATATTCACCAAAATGTACTTTGTCATAGGGACAGTTTAATATTGATTGATACTACTTATTATTATTAAGCATTTCGAAAATATTAAAAAAAGATATATTTAAAAATATATTTTTAAAAATGTATATTAAACTTAGTACTTTATTTTATAGAAATAAGGCCCTTAATACATAGACCTGTTTAAAAGAAGTTGAATTGAAGTATAATTTGTTACCGAAAACGGAATTTTATAATTTATATCGTAAGTAGATCGTTAAAGCTCAATATTTAGTTTAGAATATTATTTTTAAATCATACAATTTTCGCTCAGTGTGCCTCTGTTCAAATAGCTTGGCTCCCGGTGGCGGCAATTCAAAATGCAAACAAAGTCTCGTCTCGTGCTCAAACAATTTGCGGATCGGCGCCGGTGGACAAGGGGGCGGGAATGGGAGGGAAAAGGATATACTGGTAGCAACAAATACAAAACATACACATCTCAATTGTTTGCGTATTTGTTTGCCAAAAACAACAAACTTACCCGCTCTCCGTGGCCATGTGTGCTTTTGTTGTGTATCCCAGCCTGTCTAGGCGATGGCAATGCATGGGGGAATGTCTCTAATTGATTTTGGTAATGTTGCTTTTTAATGAAGTGTCACAAATGTGTTGCTTGCGATGATGCATGTGGTGTCGAGCATCATTAAACTCCCTCAGGAGCGCAAAAGAAACACAATTAATGCCGTCTACAGTCAGTGGTAAATTAATTATAAATACGACTTAAATTGTCTACATACAGAAAAAAACTCATACCATTCTATTGGGTTTTAATTAAAATGTTTTTTGCTGCATGGTTGCGCGATATTCCAAAGAATATGAATAAAAACGAAAAATATTGTATTATGCTATTTACGGATAAAGCTGATAGGAGCCCCCTCTTTAAGGCAATACTGATCTATAAATAATGAAAGAACCACCCCCGTGCTGGAAATCAGGCACCGAGACTGCCAGCGTCACGAAGGCCCATTAGCTCAGTTGGTTAGAGCGTCGTGCTAATAACGCGAAGGTCGCGGGTTCGATCCCCTCATGGGCCACATCATCTTTTTTTAATTTTCCCATTTCGGATGGAAAGATTGATCAGAACATGAAAACATTCAAAGATTAACTTTTTATTTGTTATATTTTAAACCCTATCACTTTATAGTGCGACATACTGTCGCACTCTATAGATAAATATTTGGGTAAATAAGAATTAGCATTTTTTAAGTCAAATTGGTTAAAAAATCAAGATGGCGTCAAGTAGGCCCATTAGCTCAGTTGGTTAGAGCGTCGTGCTAATAACGCGAAGGTCGCGGGTTCGATCCCCTCATGGGCCACAACAATTTTTTTAATTAACCAAATTTTTATCTGAGGATTGATCAAAGCAAAGAAACGTTTAGTAATCAATTTGATATTTTATATTTAAAAAAAATGCAACGCATAAGAATGAATACTTTTTAAGTCAAATAGGTTAAAAAATCAAAATGGCGTCAAGAAGGCCCATTAGCTCAGTTGGTTAGAGCGTCGTGCTAATAACGCGAAGGTCGCGGGTTCGATCCCCTCATGGGCCACACAATTTTTTTTTTGTTTTTTAATTTTGATTGCAAGATTGAGCAATGCATGGACATGTTTTGATTCTATGTGCAATTTTCAATAGATAAATAAATACGTAAGCTGGAGTAACATTTTTTAATTCAATAAGGGTGGAAAATCAAGATGGCGTCAACAAGGCCCATTAGCTCAGTTGGTTAGAGCGTCGTGCTAATAACGCGAAGGTCGCGGGTTCGATCCCCTCATGGGCCACAACATTTTTTTTACCTCTTAATTTTTAATTTTTTGTGTATTTTTAAAAATAGATTCCATTCAGGCCCAAAAATTTGTGAACTTTTTAAATGTTAAGTCGAATTAATCGAATTTTTAAATTAAGACTTAATGTTAAGAAGTCAAAGTTGTTTAATATTCAGGACTAACATTTCTTAAGTTAAATAGGTTAAAAAATCAAGGTGGCGTCATATAGGCCCATTAGCTCAGCTGGTTAGAGCGTCGTGCTAATAACGCGAAGGTCGCGGGTTCGATCCCCTCATGGGCCATAACTATTTTACTTGCTCAGTTATTGCTCGGAATGAGCAAAACATGAAAACGTTTGGAGATCAATTTTTGACAAATCCTTTGGCTTTTTTTTGCCATAAACCACCGACGCCAGAAGGTAAATTAACAGTTTAGAATTAAAATTTGTTTTTAAATTAAGTACGTTTAAAAATCAAGATGGCGTCATCTAGGCCCATTAGCTCAGTTGGTTAGAGCGTCGTGCTAATAACGCGAAGGTCGCGGGTTCGATCCCCTCATGGGCCATTAAACATATTTTATATCTTAATTTATAAATTATTTATTTTATTTTCCAAACGAATTCACAATTAAAATTGTAAAGTAAAAGTGTTGACAATGTACAGTCCGCAGTAAAGTTTGTTTGCGCCGCACCCACAAAATAGATTTGCCGCAATGTAATTGAGTATTTGTATTCAATTAAGACTTATTTCAATATTTGCATAAATTCAGCAGACAACCAGCAGACAGGAGTGCCGAGTCGAGTTGTGTCGAGTGGTATGCAGTCCAGTTGAGTCCTCGAGCGGATATAAATCCCTCATATGCTCGGGCATAATTTGGTGAAACGAAACTTGGACAAACAGTTGAGATTCTGGAGGATGGCGAGAGGATGCTCTTCGGCGTGGACAACACCAGGACGACATCTATGGGGATGTCGACGAGGTGTGGGTGCATGTGTGCACACTGTCTGATTTTGACAGCCCGCATAAAGCGAGCAAAGGACTCTGGTCCTCGCTGCCTAGGTAAACACTCGCTGAAAGGGCCAGCTAAATGCATTACCGCCCCTGGATTTTCTTCCCTCCACCGACCCAGAAATTGGCGACACAAACTGCAACAAATATTAATTTTTATTATACAAACATTGCTTTAATTACATTATTTTTGCGTACACGCCCGGCAAACAAACTTTCCCCACTTCACGTATGTGGCCAGCTCTTCAGTTCCCCTCATCGCCCTGATCAATCACTGGAAAATTGGATTTTCATATGTGCTGCACTGTCTCCCCCTCTATCTCTCCCTCTCTCTTTCTGTCTTTCCCCATCTCTTTCGGTCTCAGTTTATGCAATTTCCGATACCCACCGTTGCCTTGTGGCGGCAAAAATCAATCGGTGCTCCTCCCCCAAACAGCAGTCGTCCATCGTTTGACAAGCACAAACACAAACTTAATCAGTACCCATGGATTGGTCAATAATTTTTAAATACAAATCAAGTGTTAACTGGGGGCTTAATTGTGGGTTGGCCACCGAACGGGGTATAAAAAACCCAATCACGTTTGCTTTTTATTTGAGAAAATTTAAATTTGTTAAAGGCTTACGCAAAAAAATGGTTGTGACTTTAATTCGATGGTTTTTGCTGGACTTTATTGGACAAATTTGGCTGGTTTGTTTGGTAGAAACAAAGAAAGAAACAGAAAAAAATGCCTGTGAACAAAATGAACAAATAAAACCTAATTATTACGATACAGTTAATGCTTTGAAAAATATATACCCAACTCCAAGAAATGCATTAAAATCTGTATTATTTAACTTTTGCTCGATTGCTGAAGTGCCAGCCGACTAAACTAAAAGTCGGAACTCGGAGAAACCACAAATACCCCCCAAAAACACTGACAACGTGGGATTTTAACACTCGCCAGCTGACTGCATCGAGCTCAGTTCAGGCGGAACCCTTTTGCTGTCTCAATAGGAAAGCCATCGACCAGTGAGGGAGAATATGGAGGAAATGTGTCCAGTTTATTTTTTTTTTTACCCCCTTTACCGTCTATCGAATACGTCGGATGCCGGGCTGACGGAAATTCGATTTATTTTCATCAATATTCAATGTCATTGCAACATCTTCGTGGGCAAAACCAAAAGCGTACATCAAGCATGTCACACAAAACCAACAACAACGTTTGGGGGGCAATCCGCAAGGAGAAGCACCCATACCCTTTTTGGTCGAGTCCAATGGAAATGGACTTTGTGGCTTGAAACTTTTTGGGGGTTTTGCTATTAAAATTTGATGCGCATGTTGTTGTCTCGTTGTCGCAGCTGCACGTGCAGCAGGCACTGGACAAACCACCGGTAGATAGGTGGTTCCCAACAACCCATATATACCCGGTCATACCAACCTATGACATTCCCTTCTCCTAGGTGAAAATGTCGCAGTCTGGCTTCGCAGTTTTTGGCCATTGGTCGTCCATGGGGTTTGTGCCAAACTTGACGCGCTCTGCCATTGCATATTTAAACAAATTTATTTGCAATTTAGTGTTTGCGGTTGGCTTCCACTGGCCCGCAACTCAAACGCCCCACCGAATCCATCTCAACTGAATGGTTTTGTGCAATTTGATGGCGCGCTTTTAAGTGGCGCGAAAATTAATTAAAATTTTTGCCATTTATTGACAAATATGTCAGTATGATTGGTAACCCTCCGCGTGGCTGAGCACATTTGGTAACATTTTTCACATCCCTGGTTTGCCAAAGAAAATATTTAAACTTCTTTAAAGGCAACTTTTCGGAAACTTTAATGACCGGAAACCTGGACTCCTGCTGGCAGCCACATCGCATCTCTTAGCAATGCAAACAGAAGCGGCAAAACCAACAGAGTCCCACTCGGTGAGTGGTTATTAAAGCCGTATCTGTGCCAGTGGGCAAAAAATGGATGCAGAGCCTCAGCAGATGTGTGGGGGCGAGCTGCAAGTACGCGATAAGAGAGGTGGCGGCCAGGCACCGAGTAAATACATAATCCACGTGAGCTGGAGCCGATGACACGCATTGTGGGATGAGCAAAACGCAATCAAATTTTCGA